GAAGAGAACTGGTATATGTGAGTACATGTACAGGTCAGGGAACCTTGAGGATAGAACCTCACCTTTTGCATTGCTTCAGACAGGGTCTGAAAGGAGCCGTATGCACCAGGCTACCTGGCCCGTGGCTTCTGTGGAGAATCCTGCCTCTACCTCCCAGAATGCCTGAGGAGCACTGGGATCCTGGACAAGCACTACAGCATCCGACTTCTACACACGGGTGCTGGAAATTCAAATTCAGTTTCTCATGGCTGCCCATGGAGTGCTTTACCCACCGAGCCGCCCCCAGGCCCTTTGGGAGGAGGCTTAGCTACAGGAATGCACATTGGCCAGAGACAGCCTGCTGGTTGCTGCTGCTTATGGTGGACATCTCCCTTCCTTTCTGGGGAGATCTTCAAATAAAACCATCTGAGTATCCACCCATGTACACACACTTTCCCATCCATGGTGCCATACCATAGAACTGAAGGCCAAAACAATTGGCGGGGGAAGGGGGGATTTTCCTTTTCTAAAATCACATTAAGGATGAAACACCGGGGAAAGAAGAAGCTGTGGGCATGCCTTTTCATCTGACCTACTTAAGCATTTGGGGCTCCTTCCTTCCCTCTGACGGCGTCATAAACTGAGTATGCTAAGTTAATGTCTGGAGAGAGAATGTCTCCTCTCGAAAATGAATTGGATTCATCAAAACATTTGTGGGGAGAGAATTTCCCCACAACCTTAACCTTTACATTCAGTTGAGATGTGACTATTAAGGGCTCTTGGTCCCTCAGCAAGGTTTCACAAAGCATCATGTTTTCCCTTTCGAATCGCACAGGTAACTCCCATCTCCAGGTGGTTCCCCACCTCCGGGCAGTACCCATCTCTAGGGTGGCTTGCCGAGCTGATGCCAAAGAACAAGAACAGTGTGATATCCCTGAGGTGGGTTCTTGATCACTCTCAAGTCCCCATAGAGCCCACCTCTCTGCACATCCATTGAAGTGATGACGCTCAGGAGAGGGGTTAAGTTTTTCCTGTCGTTCATCTAGGAACCGAAAATCAAGGTGCTGTAACTCTCCTGGATCTGATGTCAGCCGGGAAGACCAAAGTCTTAGTTTGGAAAGTGACTGACAGCATCCATGGCTGATGCTGCTGATGCTGGCCACAGCCTTGTATTCTGAGCCCTGGGTTACCAGGGTACGGCAGGACTTGAAGGCTGTGGGTCCTCTGGGGCGTTTGAAGGTTGACCCTGCCCCTAGTCCTGGCCTGCCCTGTCGGCTTCCTCATTGACACAAGTTCCCACTGCCATGAGTCCTACCATCCCAGCCCTGGGAACCCAAATAAATCCTTTCTCCCTTATGTTGTTGCATTCAGCCTTTTTATGCCAGTAACCAGAAAACCAGTCAGTACAGTTCACATGATCGGGGAAGCCCAGCTGTGGTGGTCTGGAAAAGCAAAGCCAAGATAGGTCCCTCATCTTTCTGGATCCTCAGGACTGAAGAAAGGAGGAAAATCGGATATGACAGGTGACCTTGAGCCATCAAGTACCGAAGGCTTTCTCAACGGGACCGAATACCTGAGATACAGACTCATTGCTAACAAGTTTACAAACCCTTATTTTTCAGGGGACAGCACCTACTTTTTAACTTAAAAACATACGCCTCTTAAACTTTCTATATTAATGTCCCTCCCCAAATACATCCTAATAAAAACACTTTAATTTAAAAAAATCCATAAACACTAAATATTTTAGCACGTTTATTTACCTTATCCCTAGGAGAGCTAACTAACCAGGAGCAGACAATTTATTTAGAGTGAAGAGAGTTAATTTGCTGGATTAAAGATACACGGGAATGTAGGAAGGTGACAGAGTCTGAGATATATGACCCTAATAAAAGTAACGTTTATTGGGCCAGCCACTGGGCTAAACACTTGATTGGATTACCTCAGTAAACCCGTTGCTATTCTTATTCCCATTTTATAGATGAGCTTATAAACGAGGCTTCATTACAGCCATTTAATCTTCGCCAGCCCAGAATTCCGAGTTCGCTGTTTACACTGGCTATAAAAAGGTTGAATTAGCAAATTAGAAATGAAGGAGATTGGAGAAGGCATAGTTAGCTTACAAGATTGACGGTCAGAAACCCTCAGGCTTGCTGAAAACCAGATGTTCCCTGCTGCCAATGGGACTTTCTGGAAGAGCTCTGCCTACAGGTACACGGTTAAAATACCTTCTGGCCAGGAGTGGCGTCTGGGCTTGCCACGCAGGCAGAAGGACCCGAGGCTAACCCCAGTGCTGACCTGGGTCTTTCTGTCACCCCTCATATTTTTGCTTTCATTGGCTAAGGTGCTTTTAGAGAAATGCAGAACAGACTCCCAAGAATCACTTCGGAGAAGAAATGGGTGGCCCTGTGCAAGCCACTTGAGTTCCTTGAATCAATTGTTTTTTTTTTTTTTTTTTTTTTGGTGGGGATTTTTTTCTTTCTTTCTTTCATTCTTTATCTTTTTATGTTAGACAGAGTCTCACTATGTGAGCTGTCCTGGAACTCCCTCTGTAGACCAGGCTGGCCTTGAACTCAGAGAGATCCACCTGCCTCTGCCTCCCAAGTGCTGGGATTAAAGGTGTGCTCCACTACACCTGGCTCGCCTGAGACTTTTATTTAACTCTGAAAAAGATAAGATTTTGATTGTTCTTTCAGGACCTTCCAGTCAATGGTCCAAACTGCTGACCTAACTGTACAGTTTCACACCCTCAAACATGAAACTTTTTCTGCTCTGGTGCTGGGCACAGAACCCAGGGCCTCCAGCACGCATGGCAAGCCTCTCTGTGCTACTTCCCAACCGTACATACGGTTTTGACAGTAATACAGACACCACCCAGGAGACCAGCATCCTCCAGCCTTGTCGGGCAGTTTCCACCTGTTACTGAGATCACGCCCCATCAGCTACTTGGTTCTAATCTGTGGACTCCATGTTCTTTATGAGCAGCCCAACTAGGTGGATGATAGGACGGGAGATGGGATGGGGAGGAGCTCGTTCCTGAGGTCATTTTCCTGGTTCTTCCTGTCTGCATCCCTGCTGTGGCGCCTGTCGATCTAGAGCTCCATTCAGACCCTCTATACTCTCTTCTTTTTAAGCCAGGTCTGGAAACGGTTCCATGCCCCTGCTGGCGGGGTATGCCTCAAGCCTCCCTTACTGGGTGTTCCTTGCCCTGCTATTACACCATTATAAAGAGTCCTTTCGCACAACCCACCACCACCCATGCATACATGACAGAACCCCTGGGTACAACAGCATAAATATTCAATCAAAATCGGTCACAGTATAAGAGAAATAATGTAAACAACTGAGTCCATCAAAAGGAACATCTAAGGGGTCTCTGTTGGTAGATAAGAATGATCACCTAGTATTCCCAAATCCATCCCTCGTACCATGTAAACTAGGGGTGTTGGCACATACAAGCCCGTGATCCCAGCACTTAGGAGGCAGAGGAAGGAGATTGGAAGTTCAAGGTCACCTTTACTACATAGGGAATGTGAGCTACAAGGACCTTGTCTCAAACAACAAAACATAACAGCAGCAAACAAAAAGCCGACAGGAAGATGTGGTAAAGTACGTCTCTCACTACGCTAGGGGTATAGCTAAAGTTAAAGGTGGAGGTAGAGAGGCGGCCCTGAAGTTAAGAGCATTTGCTGCTTCTGCACAGGACTTGGGTTTAGTTCCCAGCACCCACACGGTGCCTCACAACCTTCTGTAACTTCAGTTCCAGGGGAGATGATGTCCTCTTCTGGCCTCCCCAGGTAGACACACACCCCCAAACAAACACACACAGACACACATATACACATACACACAGGCAAAATCCCCATGCACAGAGAATAAAGAAATCTTCCAAAGTTGAAGGCTCTGTTTGTACATAAGACCCTCAGGGAGAACCTCTGAAAGGCCTAGCAAAGAATGGTAGCCATGTACCTGTTCTCTAGAGGGAGAAAGAAATGAGAATTTCTCATAGCCAAAGATGACAAACACTGGATGTTCAGGCCCTCTGGGACTCCTGGGAAGCATGACGTAGCTGGCCACATTGTGGACCCAGTCAGGAAACAAAACACGATGAATTCTGATGTCACCCCCCCAACCCCCCTTCTCTGTTCTCCCAGCTCAGAAAGGATCTCCTAAAGTCCAGGCTGGCCCTGAACTCACGATGAAACCTGAGGATAACCTTGAACTCCCGATCCTCCTGCCTCCACCACCAAGAGGCTGTCATGCACAGTTCTCTTTCTTCTTTTCATTCAGCCTGTGGGACAGCTCAGGGATGGCACCGCCCACAATCAAGCTATCAAGCTGACTCTTCCCTTATCAGATATACTTCTCAGGAAATGTCTTCACCGGCATTCACACAAGCGTCTCCAAGCTGATTCTACATAGCATTGAGCTGACAGTCACGATTACCCAGCAGGGCACGGAAAGGTGGCTCAGCAGTTAAGAGCACGCATTGCTCTAAGCAGAGACTCAAATCACAGCTGCCCAGAACTTCGACTCTGGGGGATCCAGCACCCTCTTCTGGCAGCTATGGGTACTACAATCATGTGCGCAAATACACACCCGCACGCGCGCGCACACGCACGTGTGCACACAAAGTTTACACATAAATAAAAATTAAATTTCACAGATTACCCACCAGAACTACAATTCCCCATTAACACATACCCTAGTCAACACAGTGCCTTGTGAATACCCAAGTCAGTCCAAATCTGTTTACTCTTAGCAGTATATAACTCTGAAAATACAGACAAGACAGGATGTTTTTTTGACTTCCCCAAGACAATGCTAAAAACCCACACATGCGTCCTCTGACCATTTCCTAGAGATGATTTTCCCAAAACGTGTGGGAGTCCAGGATCATGGCAGCCCTTTTGCTTTTCCTGGGCATTTCCCACGACAAGAGGCATCAGAAGAGTAACTACAGTGCCCCTGCCCCACCCATCAATTACATGCTCTGACTGTAAGAACCTGAGAGGAGATACCTGTTTCAGGATTGAGACCGCTGGTGACTCCTTCAGGGTCTCCTTGCCCCTGTGTCTTTCTCCTTCACCACCCTCTGGACCCGGAGCCTGTAGAAGCAACCCAAAGAACATGTTCAAGAAACCTGACTCACACATGGCTACCATCATAAGGCTGGGGCTGTTGGGGAAGCCAGGGTAAGCTCAGGTGGGCCATACTGAGAGGCCCCAGAGTCACTGCTGAGGAAGGGTTCAGGGCAGTCCAGTACTTAGGAGAGGCGAGCATAAACTCCAGTCCTACCCACTCAAGCCGTGACCTGGATGTAAATGTAACTTTTTTGTGCCTGCCTCAGATTGTGACCTCTGTGTCTCACTGCCTCAGTTCACTAACCCAGGCCTACTCCCGGAAGCTTCTAGCCTCTGTATAATATTATCTAGGCCTAGACTGTTTTCAGCCTCTGAGACTTACAGCTGAATAAGCTCAGCCTTTCTAGTTCTTTCTGAAAGAAAGAACCAACCCTGCTGGTTGAGCTGTTGTGGCTCAAACTCCTCTGCACGCTGACTGTCTCAGTCTGGCTTCTCTCAGCTTCTCCTGAATTGCTCTGCTTGGCCTCATACTAACTCTGGCAATCTATTCTAATCTTCTGGCTCCTTCTCTGGCTGGTTCTGTCTTCACCTGTGTCTAGTTTATTCTCTCTCTGCAACCTGTCTCCGTACAACTGTTCCAGTGAAACTGCCTCTTCTGTTCTGCTCTCATAAGTACTTTCCCTTTCCTCTCTCTCCTTGTGAAAGTTGGGCGTATCCTATTCTGTCAAATCACTCTCTGATTCGTCACTTTGTCTGCCTCTCAATCAGACATCACTTTCAAACATAGGTGCTTCCTTCTACAAACTAACTTTACCTTCCTTGTTTGGGGCTAAAGGGTGTGCTAAAGGTGTGTCTGTATTCCAGCTACAGGAAGCAAAGGCATGTGCTGAGCCACATCACAACTAGAAATAATTTTTTTTTCTTCAGTAAGTAACATAACCTCAGGGTTCACAATGTGATCAAATATCCTGCAACGCCCAGAGTCACCCAGCCTGGGCTCTTCCCTTCAAGTTCCGAGTTTAGTGCGCTAGCAAATGACGTCAGTATTAACTGGAAAGCACTTCTGGAGTTGGGTCGTTTCTTACCACCTCTGTAGCCGCTCTGACTTCAGTAGCTAGTGGCATAGACTCAGTGCAGTGACTGACGGAGTCAGAGCCTCGCACTGGGGAAATACAGAGTGTGGCACATCGTGGGTGCCAGGGAAACAGTTGAAAGACGTATCATGGATCAAAGGAAGGAAGAGAAAAAGAACTATGAAAAGGGAAGTTGTCCCCAGTGTCAAAAGGAGTGAGGTTCAGAATGATAAGAACTGATACTCCATCAGTGTGGCAACAGAGAGGCCCCAGGGAGGGAGGCCTTGGAGGGACAGTTTCTACCAAAGGCAGGAGCCACCTGCCGTACACTCTACCGAGAGCCTGTTCTGGGCCAGACCTAACTCTCACAGGCAACAGCAAAGGAACAAAGCCAGAAGATACTGGCCTATCTGTGTAGATGAGGGCCTGATTTAACATTGCCTACTGTAAGACACATGGGGTGAGGCTCCAGGCGCACAATAGGCCAAGGGAAGGAGTTTTATGTAGGAAGAGGGCCATTTCTTTCTCGAATAGAAGGAAACCTGAGCGCAGAAGAAGAGGCAGGTCCAAGGAACTCCTGACTGGGAGGCTTCCTATGAAGTCCTACATAGTCCTACATAGTCAGACTGTACGGAGTGAGGTTAGCAGACAGGGTAAGTTCACTGGAGGTAGAGATGGTATAGCCCACTTCTCAGCCTGGTACTCCTCGTGCTCAGACCTACCCTTAAAAGCAGGCCTTCTGTTGTAGCCCTGTCCCTAACTGGAGAGGGCCTCTGGGGTCTGCATCCCTGAGGCCCAGTTTCAGCTAGAGGGGACGGTTTTGGTTTGATAGGTACGCAACCTGCACAGCGATGGGTTTCTGAGCAGCTCAGGTCTATAGTGCTCCTCAAACTCAATGGGAGGACCACAAACAGCATTTTTCTCCAAGATTCTGACAGGATCCTCTTATATCCCATTCCCTGATTCCAGCTGCTTACAAAAACCATGGCTCTTCTTATAAGAGGTGACACACATTCTTTAAAAAAAAAAAAAATCTACAAAGGGCTGGGTCCGCCAGAAGTTGAAATCTCCCTCCCCCCACCCCCAGATTTTCACAGAGGGCAAAAAACAGGTTTAAAGTAACTTGCTTAGAGTCTTTTAGGCAGTTGAGTAAACCCCCTGGATTTGAACCTTCCTGGTTTAAGTCCTCAACAGTTTCATTCTTAAAACTCAACATGATTAGGGCTGGGGAGAGAGCGACCTGCCTTTGGATCTTTCTCTGTGTGTGTTTGAGTGTGAGTGCCGGTACCAGGACACGCAGGTGCCGGTCAGGAGAACCTCAGTGTCAGCCCTCACCTCCGTCCTGCACATAGAACAGCAGGCTAGCTGGGCTGCGATCATCTGAGGATTTGTCTGTGCCCACCTTTCACCTCACTAAGGGCGTGCTGGGATTGATTACAGGTGTGTACCACCTTGTCCTGCTTTACGTGAGTAGCTTCTGGGAATCCTAACATACACACACGCCACATACACACAGAACATAGTCTGCCATGACAGACGTCTCCAAGCTTTCCTGCCAACAGTCCCTCTTACTATGCACACATCCAGGTAAAACTCCATCTGGCACTATTTTAACTACCCTATTATTTACTCAACTGGTTTGGATGGCTTACCATCACAGGAAAAAAAAAAATCAAAACTCTACAGCCACCCCTCCATTACAAATGGCACATGAGGCTTGTTTAGGCCTTGTTTCTAGGAGGCACTTCTGGTCCACCTAATCCTTAACCCCACTCCCCACCCCTCCACAATGCCTTTTTCAGGACCCAGGAATGAGCACTTCACTTCATGAAGTTCTGTCCTCCCTCGTCCTCTCCTGAGGCTCTGCTGAGTAAGATCTACAATTCATTGGTTTACAGAGCCCTCCCTGATCCCCCCAGGGCCCCACACAGCCTGCCTACCACCTCCTTTGAGCGTACTGCATCTAGCTTTTCTGGGTAAGCGTTCTGTGTGCCCATAAAGACAGCAACACTCTACACAAACATACACACCGCCGCCCAGGACGATTACACCTTATTGAAGAACACTAGGTACAGCCAAAGAGATGGCTCAGCAGTTTGAGCATTGGCTGCTCTTGTAAAGGACCTGGGTTCAGCTCCCAGCACCCACATGGCAGCTCACAAGCATCTGTAACTCCAGTTCCAGGGGATCTGACGCCCTCTTCTGGCCTCCTAAGGTCTCAGACAGGCACATGGTACACAGGCATATAGGGAGGCAAAACATCTATACACGTAAAATAAAAGTACGTAAATCTTTAAACACACACCCCAAAAAAACAAAACCCCTGCAACTGTTTACTTCTGAACATTGCAGAATGGTGAATATTGCTGACCGACAAAGCAACTGTGATACTTCTGAGAGACAATTTTCAAAAGACTTTCAGAAAGCAGAGCTAAGATAGAGGAAGACAGGACAGGGGCTTTCTAGGAGCTTCTGCAGGTAACGTCTATTTTCCCCCCGCAGGAAGCTGTGCAGCCTGGCACGTGCTAGCAGCCATCCCAAAATTAAAAAAAAAGAAAAAAGAAAAGAAAAGAAGGAGGAGGTAGATTTAGACTGTTCCCTCTCTGCTTTGACCTGTTCCCCCCAGACTCAAAGCCCCAGCACTCTACTTGAGCTGCCTGTTCACATGTGTCCTAAGACACGTCAATGTCCCATCTTCTGCTCTCTTCAAAGGAAGCACTTTCCATGTGAGTAGGCCAGCTGAGGGAGAGAAGGAGCTACTAGGCGCCAGAAGAGTCGGCGCTGGCTGCCTGTGGGCTGCAAGAAGATCGCCGCACATCCTGGAAATAAGATTCATGCAGCTTCACTTTAGTCTGCATGGGCCACCAGGCAACCAAGCTGGCATCCCGGGGGCTTCAAGGGGAGAATGCCTGGGAGCTGTGAAAATTGGTCAAGTACCAAAGGACCATCAAACCCTCCCACACGAAGACCGGCAGCCCTGAACCGGAGAGAGTATGACAGTGGTCAATGAAATACTGTCTGCTAAGGTGCCTGGAAAGAAATCAAGATCTACCCAAGCCAACAAAGGGGTGGCATGCTCCCCATGACTTGGTTGAGGTAGCAGGAGCTCAGGAATCAAGCCTGAGGTGGATGCACGGCCAGCCTGGCTACCCAGCCGCTGGCTGCGAGCCTAGCTGCTTTGATCTGGTTCTGCATGAGTTAATGTAAGGCCTAAATAAAACAAGAAGAATATAAATACATCCTTCATGGTGCCTGGCATTACATAAGGGACCCACTTCGTGTTGCTCCCCTTCCCCCCCCCAGCCCTCTGTCCTCTCTTAGCAATCACTCACAGACACAAGTGCAGAAGCCACAGAGCACTTCCCAGTGAGGTTTGCAAAGGAGGAGAAGGCAGCGAGGGGGACACACAGGCCAGCCCAGGACAGGTGCTGGAGACCTCAGTGAGACACAGGGATGCCTACACCATGTGGCCTCACTCAGACCCTAACAGGAAGTTAATGAGAAACATAGAAAAATACAGGCCAAGGGTGGGGAATTAGCTCTGTTGCTGGAGTGCTTGACTCGTGTGCACACAGCCCTGGGTTGTATCTCCAGCACCAAATAAACTGGGTGTGGTGGCACGTGCCTATAATCCCAGTGCTCTGGACCCAGAAGTAGAGGCAGGGTGGCCTAGTTGTAAGGACAAGTCACCTGACTGCTGGCTCTGTCGAGGCCTCCTGTCACTACCCCTGCAGTGGCTGCAGTGGCTCCCCAACTCCCTCCCCAAGTTAGGTTCCTTTTTTTTTTTTTTTTAAATAATGACTCATTTAGGAAGAGGCAAAAACCAAAAACTTCAATGGTAAAGATAAAAAAGTACCAAACTCTTTAAACACCTCCCACTCCTGCAGACTTGATATCAGATCTGCCTCCCCACTCTGACCGTGCTAGTTTGGAACTGATGGTGCACGGAGA